GGGGTTAAAGTTGAATATATGGGGTTAAAAGATGGGGTTAAAATATAGGGTTAAAGTTGAAATATGGGGATAAAGTTGAAATACAGCGTTAAAAGATGGGATTAAAATATGGGGTTAAAGTTAAAATATGGGGTTAAAGTTAAAATATGGGGTTAAAAGATGGGGTTGAAGTTGAAATACAGCTTTAAAAGATGGGGTTAAAGTTAAAATAGGGGTTTAAAATATGTGGTTAAAGTTGAATATATGGGGTTAAAAGATGGGGTTAAAATAGGGGGTTAAAATATGGGGTTAAAGTTGAAATATGGGGTTAAAATATGGGGTTAGTACAGGGGGTTAAAGTTAAAATATGGGGTTAAAAGATGGGGTTAAAATATGGGGTGAAAGCATGGGGTTAAAATTAAAATATCGGGTTAAAAGAGGGGATTAAAATGGGGTTAAAGTTAAAATATGGAGTTAAAATAAGGGGTCAAAGTTAAAATAGGGGGTTAAAAGATGGGGTTAAAGTTGAAATATGGGGTCAAAATGGGGTTAAAGCATGGGGTTAAAAAGAAAATATGGGGTTAAAACAGGGTTAAAAATAAAATATGGGGTTAAAATATGGGGTTAAAGTTAAAATAGGGGGTTAAAGCATGGGTGTAAAATTAAAATATGGGGTTAAATTTAGGGTTAAAAGTAAAATATGGGGTTAAAATGGGATCCTGGAAAGGGTAGATGGGGTCCTGGAAGGGTAAAACAGATTTTGTAAGGGTAAGTGGGATCCTGGAAGGGTAAGTTGGGTCCTGGAAAGGCTAAATGGGATCCTGGAAGGGTAGATGGCATCCTTGAAGGGTAAAAGGGGTCCTGGAAGGGTAAATGGGAATCCCAGAAGGGTAGATGGGACTCTGGAAAGGGTAAAACAGATCCTGAAAGGGTAAATGGGGTCCTGGAAGGGTACATGGGATCCTGTAAGGATAAATGGGATCTTAGAAGGGTAAAACAGATCCTGGAAAGGCTAAATGTGATCCTGGAAGGGTACATGGGATCCTGTAAGGATAAATGGGATCCTGGAAGGGTAGATGGGGTCCTGGAAGGGTAAATGGGACTCTGGAAAGGGTAAAACAGATCCTGAAAGGGGAAATGGGGTCCTGGAAGGGTACAGGGGATCCTGTAAGGATAAATGACATCCTAGAAGGGTAAATGGCATCCTAGAAGGGTAAAGGGTGTCTTGGAAGGGTAAATGGCATCCTGGAAAGGGTAAAATGGATCCTAGAAGGGTGAAAGTGGTCTTGGAAGGGTAAATGGGATCCTGGAAGGGTAGATGGGGTCCTGGAAGGGTAAAACAGATCCTGTAAGGATAAATGGGATCCTAGAAGGGTAAATGGCATCCTGGAAGGGTAAATGGCATCCTGGAAAGGATAGATGGGATCCTGGAAGGGTAAATGGGGTCCTGGAAGGGTAAAACGGATCCTGTAAGGGTAAAACGGATCCTGTAAGGGTACATGGGATCCTAGAAGGGTAAATGGGGTCCTGGAAGGGTAAATGGGATCCTGGAAGGGTAAATGGGATCCTGGAAGGGTAAATGGGATCCTGGAAGGGTAAATGGGATCCTGGAAGGGTAAATGG